TACTATAGCTTTGTAGTATAGTTTAAGTCAGGTAGTGTTATGCCTCCAGGTTTATTTTTTTTGCTCAGCATTGCTTTGGCTATGCGTTAGCCACCCTATGTTAAATTGCATCCCGTCTCTCCTGCTCCTTGCATTACTTCTCACCCCTGCAGCTCCTAGAACAGTGCCTGAGTGGTGTATAGCAGCTCCAGACAAACTTGCCACTAATCAGACCATGAGCTCTCTCTCTCACCTGCGTCTCTTCCAGTGCTATTATTGTGGCCCAGAACACTCCTGGCCTGTCCTGCCTTCCATTCTCCCTGCTTTATCAGATTGGGATGTAAGGTTGGGAGGTGCATTACCATGGAGATACAACCAGTAGAGTAAGGAGATGCCAGATTTGAAGGAGTTGGGTGCAATTGAAAGCACCAGAGGCTTTAACACCATGTGATGATAATAACCCACCTAGTATTCTAACAGGATCTCTTTGCCTCCCATGCTGAAAGTACGCTGAATGGTGCAAGGCCAGGAGCGGAGCAACTGGCACCTTAGATCAGTGTAGTGGCAGTGGAGGTTGGGAGAAGGAAGCAGATTCTGAATATTTCTTGAAAGTGGAGCCACCAGGAGCTGCTGATGGATTGACCATGGCCTGGACCTCCTCAAATCCTCAGGAACCCTGCAATGAGTTGTCCTTTCTCTCATAATGGGATTTCAGCTCATGTGGAGTTCAATGGGTCTACCCACTGGCCCCAAAGACAAAGCGCCACACCGACTCCACTTTCCCAGCATTTAATTAGGAAAAAAAACATTACACAGACAAAGAAAAGCTCATGAAGCAAAAGAGAAGAGACTTGGGGGTCCAGGACCATGAGACGGGGCCAGATTCCTCAGAGGAGGCAGAAGACATGAAGCAGGAAGGCACTGCCACTTCAGCCAGTCAGGGTGGGCACAAGAGGGGCAGCTTAGGTCGAGGGGGTTCAGGGCGAGTGCAGACACCACTGAAGATGTTTTGCAGTAGAGTCAGGAGAGGAGAGTTCTAGATCCCTCAGGTTGAGGTCAGGCCCCAGCCAGGCCCCAGCACAAGCCTGGTTATGTTTCTCCTGGTGCTCAGATTGAATAGGGTCCCCAGAGAACGTAGGGTCTGACTCTCAAGACTTTTGGAGGACACTGTGGCCT